TCTGTACCTGCTCCGGGTGTGCTTAGCGATGGCCTGGAAATCCGGCGGCGCCAGCCACTCGGAGCTAATCCACAACCTCCGCAGTAAGTGCCACCCCCGCTTGGCGGGGGCAACTAGGGCAGGCCGGGCCTGGACCAGGTCCCCCCTCGGCCGGGCCGAAGCCCTTCTGTCTTAACCCCTCCCGCCAGCGCCTGGGCTTGGGCGCTGCACCGGGAGTCTCGGGAGGCATGCGTGTGCAGTCACCTCCCCCGGGAGCTGTCACTTGTTGGCGACGTGGAGGGGAAGGGGCGCGAGAGAGCGCAGCCCCTCGGCTGGTGGAGCAGGGGCGCTTGTCTCCCCGCAGGCCCTGCAGGGGGAGGCAGCGCGGCCCCGATGCGGGGCTTGTCACTCCGGGCTGCAGCCTGCCGCTCCAGGTCGGGCCGGCGAGGGGCGTGCCCTCGCGCTGGGGCTGTTGGCAGGGCTGCCCAGGGCCGGGGCTGGAACTCGGGGGACCACCCCAGCTGGGCCCCCCGCCTTTCTCACCTTCCTCCTTCGTAATCAGCCTCGCTGCAAGCTTCCCCCCGCGCCGGCCTCCCCCGCCCTCCGATTTTTCCTCCGGAGGGAGATGCCGCTGTCTGATACGGGCTCGGGGAGGGAGAGGAGGTTGAGAGTCTTGCCCGTTGCGGGTGTTGGGGAGAAACTGCTCGGGCGGATGCCGGGTGGGCAGCCTCATGGTGGACCAAGGAAGAGCGAGCCGGGGATGCTGATTGTGTGCGAGGGAGCCCATAGGCGTTAAAAAGCCGTGTATGGAAGTTTCTTTATACCATTCTCTTCGGCTATTTTATTCCTTTCTTTGGCGATCTTTTTTTCCTTTTTATGAGCGGGATGAATGCTGTGTCACTTTTTTAAAATTGAAATTTAATGTCGTCTCTGCTCAGGCCTCCAACATGACCAGTCTATAATGATCTCATTTTGCTCAGTATCTTTCACACTCTTTTTGCCACTAATTTTGCAAATAATAACTCACCACCCGGCCTTTTTGTCATATCTTATTTAGCTTTTACATGTGTTTTTCTTATCTCCCTGTTGGCTTTGTACCCCTAAGACTCGGACCATTTACTTTTTTGTTTGTTTGTTTGTTTAAATTCTCTCAAAGGGTTTAGTGCTTATTCATCCCCCCCCATGCTAATTAATTGTCCATCACATGCCTGGATTGTGCTAAAAATATAAGCGAGAATAAGGAGCCCCATCCTGAATACGCTGTACTTAATATACGTAATATCAGTAAAATGTGCTGCTTTTACCAGTACCTAAAATGTGGAAGTTGTGCATTAGTGGTTAGTAGGGAAGGATGTTTTCAATTTAAAAATTATGTCACGTATTGCCATTTAATGGGAGGAGACCTGACTAGAGGTGAGTGGAATGAAGTTCCCGTGTATGCCATACGCTTAATATGTTGTGTTTTTATGGCATTGCTTTTAAACTTTTGGTGATTTGAGAGAATGTTATCACAGTAGATAGGTTTCCCAGTCAGTAGTTCATATACGTTAGGATTTATAACCTAGCTTGTATTTCCCCGGTGGAACAGCATTTCACCCCACGTCATCTTTCTCCCCCATTGTTTCCTACCTTCTGAACTTTATCCCTGGCTGCCCCTTGATCTTGTATGGTTGGCTGTTTTGGGGTGCTTTCCTTCCTGGTGTTATAATTTCTGTTATTTCAGAACAGCCAGTTGATGTATAGCCAGCTCATAGCTGATCCTCCCACCGCTGGAGCAGCTGGTGGTTTCTTACTGCCTGAGAGGGGCCACCTTTGGCTTTAGCAGTGCACAGTTCCTCTGGATTGGGCGCCCAGAGCTCGGTGGCCTTGGCTTTATGGGATTAGCTCAGGTGGCAGGAAGGTGTGGTCGGTAGGGAGGTGTGCTGGTAAAATAAAGCAGGTGTGCCTCTGATTGTTTACCACATGGTTTACAACCTTCCAAAGTCCTCTGGAGGGTCAGCTGCGAGTTGGTTCTGACAGGACAGTAATTGAGCCTTGTTTGGCTCAGAGTTGAGCCAAGGAGGTAGGTTAAAGGGTGAATAAGGACGGTTCTCAGAGCTGTGGTGACACGGTGTATAAAGTATTGGGCTGCTAGCTGAGTGGTTGGTGGTTGAAGGCCATCTGCTGTTTCAAGGGAGTAAGATGGCCATCTGCTCCCACAGAGGAGTGCAGCCTCAGAAACCTGATGAAGGGTCGTGGGTTGAACTTCACTCCATGACACTGGGTTTGGTTTTGGGCTTTGGAAGGGCTGCTCTAGTCCACCAGTTCTGTCAGACCAGTAAGTGTGAATGGTCTTCCTCCCTCCCCACCCCCTTTTCTCTCCTTCTTTCTTTTGTCATCCCTTTCAGAGGGTTATGCTAGCGGTGATAACTGAACACCGTCCCATGCTTCTGGTCTCAGGGTAGTGGGGACTGGAATTTGTTTTGTTCATTTGTCCTTTGGACTGATTGTTTTCCTGTGTTTTTTTTTTAATTTTTTTTTCTTTTCCTCACTCTTTGCTCTGCATGGAGAGAGACCAATAATCTCAATAATGTGCGCCTTAGATGGATGCTCAGAAGCTTTTAAGACCCTTGCTGCTTCTTGCAAAAGTAGTTAGGAGAACTCTCTCTTTAAATTATGTTAAGTCCGCTGGTCTTGCTTTCCCTCCGTTTACAACATTTCTGGCTGTAATGTGGGTGCCTGCTACTGCAGACTGCACATCTTAAGTGTTCTACCCACAGAGTGTGACAAACTTTCCACCACTACATTAGCCCAGTAGACACTTGGCTGTGACAGAAATTTGTAATCAGTCTGTTTAAAATCTCTCCTTTTTTGTCCAAATTTGTGTTACGCCAACACTAGATGTTTTTACATTGGTTTTAGAATCACTTTAATGTATTGCATTAGTGGTATTAGCTAAAATTTCCAAGGAATTTTTATTTTTGTCAGAAAATTTGATACATTGATGTGATACTTAGTTTTCTATTATGTCTGTGCTTCCAAAGAGGAAATTAGAGTACTTATGTTGCTTAACTTTTTTTGTAACATTGTGCAGCTTTTCCCAACTTCTTGGGGAGATTATTCTGGCTAATAGGTTTATTATTTTATTTGTTATTTAAATACATCTAAACATGTGAAAGTTTTCTTTGGCACAGAAATGCCAAATTGTTTCTTAGTAATTCCACTGTTATGTATTCTTCCTAAGATAAAAGTTTCTAATTAAGCCTTTGGAAAAAATGGAAAAGATTATGTATCTTATATGTATCATTAAGTATCATACTGAACTGAAAAAGAGATCTGTAGAGTAGAAGCAGAAGCATATTACTGTTGTAATGGGATTCCCCCCCCCCCAAAAGAAATGAAGTCCATAATTGTTTTAATTTTAACAAAATTTTATTGGAAATACTGTGGGGTGGTTGTTTTTTTTTGTGTGTGTGGGTTTTTTTTTTTTTTTTGTATTATAAGACAGCATAATAGAAACATAATTGTGTGATAACCCGTGTGTTTTTATAGATAGATATACGTTCTAACAAGTTGGAACAGACTCATTGCTGACTGTCCAGCAGGTTTTCAGAGGCTGTCAGTTCAGTGGAAGGAGGTTGCCCACCTTTCTTCCCTAGAGTAGCTGGTAGATTTCAATGGCCTGCCTTTGGCTTGGCATTGCAACTCCCTGCCACAAAGACTCCAGTGCTCCCTGTGTAGACATGGAGATTCATCTTAACATCTTGCTGGGTACTGACAGTGGTTCCAAAATTTGAGAATTAGCTGCACATCTTCTTTAAAACAGATTGCTGGGCACCCAGTGCTATATTGCTGCTGGTATAGAAACCTCACTTTAAGAACTACTAATTTAGAGAACTGAAAATGGTAAGATTAACTCCATCTATGTTTGGACCTGTATATTTTCCACTTTGAAATGGAAACTTTAGATAATTCCACAACAGTCTTATCCATTCGCACTCTATGAGGCTCAGTATCTGTGATGTCCAGTATAGGAGCCATTACGTACATGTGACATTGAACTCTTGGAATATGGATGGTACAGCAAGGAGCTGAATTTTTGTCTTATTCATTTTAATGACCTTAATTAAAAGCCCCTGTGACTCGTTAGCGTACAGGACAGGGAAGGTCTTCAGAATGAAAGCTAATGTGCGCTCTTCCTGCTCCATCCTCAGCGCCGCCATCATGCTCAAGCCTTTGTTGTAGTGGCGGTGTCAGTCTATCTCATTGAAAGGCTTCCTCTCTTTCTCTGACCCTCTCTACCTTACCCAGCTTGATAACTCTTCCCAAGAACTGTTCCCTCCTGACAACATGCTCACAGTGTGTGAGACAAAGTTTCACCATTCTTTTCTCCAAGGACGACCTTGGTTGTGTTTCCTCCAATACAGATTTATTTGTTCTTTTGACAGTTCATGGCAGAGTACTCTTGTCCAACACTACAGCTCTAAGGCTTTATTCTTCTTTTGTCATTCTTCACTGTCCACCTTTCAGATACATAGGAAGCAATTGAAAATACTATGACTTGGATGAGTTCTGCCTTTGACTTTACACTAAGGCCTTTACTCTTCAGCACTTTAAAGAGGTTCTTGATATCTCATTTCCCCAGTGCACCATGTCTTTTGATTTCTTGACTGCTCCTGCCTTGGGTGTTGATTGTGGATCCAAGTGAAATGAAATCATTGACAACTTCAAACTCTCATGGTGATGCCTGTTGGCCCAGTAGTGAGAAGTTTTGCTTTCTTGACACTCAGATGTAATATATACTGAAGGATGTCGTCTTTGATCTTCTGCACCAAGTGCTTCAAGACCTCCTCACTTTAATCAAGCAAAGTTGTGTCATCCGCATAACTCATCATAGTTGTTGAGTCTTCCCCCCATCTTGATGCCACATTCTTCTGCATATAGTTCAACTTCTCAATGATTTGCTCAGCGTACAGATAGGATAGGAGAAAGGATAGAACCCTACGTAACCCTTTCCTGATTTTAAACTGTCCAGTACCCTCTTGTTCTGTACAAAACAGATAATTTTTGGTCTGTGCATAAGTTTCTCATGAGCACAATAAGTAGTCTGAGATTCCCTTTCTTC